TATGCTACGGTTGAATGCCTCACATAGATTGTTCATAAGCATGTCACACTTGGAATCACTCTTGAAATATGCCCTACTCCAATGCCTAGGATCTTTCTCCATGAGCCAATCATGTGCAGGTTTAGACAACTGCAACATCTTTGTCATCTCTGCATGAAACCATGGCACTGTTGTGGCTCTAGCAATTGCTTCCATTTGATGTTTCAAGGCAAGACCTCTATGTTCCAAATAGAAGTTCCCATATAGATGTTTCAAACAATGTCTATGCTCTGCCTGAGGGAATAGAGTATCCACAACATTTATTAACCCTTTTTGTTTGTCAGTCATAAATACATAACCATGGCTATTTGTAATATTGAGATCACCACTCAATAATTCTAAAAACCACAGCCATGTTGAATTGCTCTCAATCTCTACATATGCATAGGCAAGTGGAAACATTCCGTTGTTTGCATCAACTCCCATTGCAGAAAGCACTTGCCCAGGGTGAGGCCCTTTGACATGACACCCATCCAAGCAAACCACAGGCCTACAACCATCTAAAAACCCCTTCTTGCAGGCTGCAAGACAGATGTAAATTCTTTGAAACCGTGGCCTATCACCTTCCATTTCAGATTTAATGATAACTGTACTTCCCACATTCCTGGTTCTTAACTCATGACAATATTCCCACAAGACTTCATATTGTTTGCTGTAAGACCCCTCTACAATGTCAACTGCCATGGCTCTTGCTCTGTACACAGTTGCTCTAGATGGTCTGTAACCATAGTCTTGGTGAACTTGCTCTACAAAAGAAGCAGCAGTCCAATTTGGATTGAGCCTTAACTGCCCAGAATATCTTTCAGCCAACCAGCCAGCAGTAGCATGTATATTTTTAGTCCCCTTGCTACAAACATGTGTAGGATTAAAGGTTTTCACCTGCAGGTAAGTGCTACCACTAACACTTGAAGCATAGATAACAAAAGGACAGCCCTCTTCACATACTGCTCTTATTTTGTTACGGTCATTATGCATAAAAATCAACTCCCTTCCACAATTAATGGAGTATATCCTCACAGCTTTTCTAAACAACTCGGCAGTTGCAAACCTTAAACCTATTTTGAAACTTGGGTTTCCCATATCAATTTCAGGTCTGAAATCTTCACCTTTTGGCATCCTCTTCTTCTTCCTTCTTACTTCACCCACTGCATCATCTTCACTTTGTGAACTATTTGGGCAGGTAAGTGTAGGTGACTCTTCTCCATTGTCTGACTCATCATTTTGCTCTGCATTAGGATCATTGTCAAAAATACTATGATCCACATAACCTTCAAACCACTTATCATCATTCTTCAATAATTCAATCTCTTCATCACTCTGTGCATAGTCACTGTCTTCAAAGTCTGGATCACTGCTATCATCATTCTCAGAACAAGAATATTCTTTATCACTGCTATCATTCCCCACTTGGCTTGAAGTTAAGCTCACTACCTTCAAGTACAAAACTACGACTCTGCTATTGCTTTTAGGTACCATGCTCATACAAGCTAAAAGTGTACTATCAGATATTATTTGAATGAGTCTGCTAGTTCCAAACTCTTCACCATAAAAACTCACATCATACCCATCGTCATATCCCAAATCTTTAGCCATTCCAAATAGCTCTAACATGGACATATAGTCAACCTCACAGTAATCAAACCAACTGACTTCACCACCTAAATAAGACCACTGACTGTCCTTTCTATTTTTCACTAGTTTACCCCCATGGAAAAACTTAAATGTGACAACGTCATCAGCATCTTCATCTGCGTAACAGGAACGTTCACTTAACAAATGGGAAAAAACACACAAAGAGAAAAGAAGGACCACACAAAGGATAATACAAGGAACACCCAAGGACCACATAAGGTATATTGGGGCCAGCACAGAATAAAAAAATATATGAAAGAACAAAAAAA